CTCTCCAAAAGCTGACCAACAGCTTTTCTTGGAACTGACCTACCTGTTCCTTTGTTAACATAAGCAAGACCTCTTCTGTGCAAGGTAATTATGAAGTGACAGCAATATGGGAATGTCTTAGACCATGGCAGTTCTAAAGAGCAGGACAGCTCATCACCCTCAACCCCCTGTCTTGGCACCCACTCTGTTCTTGGGGAGCCCAGAGTACCTGCCGGATGGGGAAAGATGTGGAGAAGGCTGTAGTTGGTCAGCTCAGGAAAACTCCTCATTCTGCCCCCAAGTTATATAGCTGGTCTGGACTTGGAGAAGGCAGCTCAGTGGTCCTATACTGGCATGGGAATCAAGAAAGTTCTTCTCAGCCCGGGGTAGGAATCCCAGCAATGCACTGGGCCCAGGCTGAGTTGTTGAACCCATTGGAAACAGAGTTTTCTTGGGAAAAGAAGCTGCTGGAACTTCAGTCTTGTGGTCCCCACATGCTTGCTTTGCTGGTGCTGTGGGCAGTCCAGATGCGGGCAGCTTCCTGCTCTTTGGAGAGCTGGTATTTCAACATGGTAGCCAACAGGCAAACATTCCCCCCAAATCTAACCCCCAAGAACAAGGGCTATTCCCCTGGGAAAAGCTGCAGAGAGTGCCTCTTGTCTTGTTCCCAAAATTATTGGTTCTCTCTTATTACTAGACGTTCCTTGAGGGCAGGCACCAGCACTTATCTGTTGATCTGTTTCCTGGCACCTAGAGGGTGCTCAGTGCAAATCTAAGCTGCCAAGGTATCTTCCTGAAGTGGGCACATGGAGGCCTCTGGATGTGAAAGGCACCCATAAGGCTGTCCTCTCAACAAGAGAGAGAAGGCAGGCCGGACTGCTTGCGTTTTCTAGGAAAACCTTTTCGATCTGAGTCTCAGCTATGGGTCCCATGATAGCAGAGCCCAGTGGTTAGGGGTGTGGGCTCTAGAATCTGGCGGCTCCAGGCTCGCACCTGGGGGGCCACCCACTCCAGGAGGCCACCTCCTGCCCCCCTGACTCCACTTCTCAGTTTCCCTACATCCGAGATGGCAGCACTAAAGCCAGCCTCTCTGGTTGGGTGGGGAGAAGTGAGCTTCCTTATATAAGATGCTTTGCTCTGGGCCTGGGCCCCACAAGACCACAAGCCATGTCAGCCACTGGTTCCTTTGTGGGACCATCTGAAATCACTGCAATTCAACCATTTTTGACCTACAGTGTGGTGGTTTCTCATGGCTCAGCCTGACATTGTCACTTGGCTGACTGCCTGGATGGTGGCATCTGAGGCTGGGTTATGCTGAGGCCCCCTGCCCTCCCCTCCCCCAAGGAGTCAGCCCCCGCTGGAGATGGAGGGGCCTGCAGGGTCACCTCCTATAGCTCCCTTCTTGTCAAGTGGGGAGATGGAACCCAGGGAGGTAAGTTCTTGCCCAAAGATACACAAGGAGGGGACCTAGGACTAGAATCTGATTTTTTTTTACTCCTAATTCAGTTCTCTTCTCTCTATGTTGCTCTCAAGCTGCTTCCATGATATGGGAGCCAGAGCTGGGTCCAGATGGGCCAGCTACCAACACGAGGTGCTATAAAGCACCAGAAATGTAACGAGGTGCTGGAAGATGGCATTTTCCAGAACCCCTCCCAGAGTCAGTACTGCAGGGAGTTAGAAGTGTCTTTAGTCCCACCTCTGGCACTTAAGTGTTAGTGAGCTCAGTTTCCTCATCTGTACAATGGGATTAAAAAAGTGGCAATTTCATAAGGGAGTCACGGGTATTAAATAAGTGAATATTTATAAATCGTATTGTAAACACTAAAATTCATAGGGGTGCCTGGGTGGCTCAGACGCTTGAGTGTCCGACTCTTGGTCTCGGTTCAGGTCATGATCCCACGGTTCTTGGGATCGAGCCCCATGCAGGGGCTCTGCACCCATTCTCTCTCTCCCTCTCTCTGCCGCTACCCCTTGGCCCCCACCTGCGTGTGTGTGCGCGTGAGCTCTCTCTCTTTAAATAAATAAATAAACTTAAAAAAATAAAATACAGTTTATAAACACAATTTACAAAAAAACTTTCTAAAATATAGCAGAGCACTTAAAAGAGTGCCGGCCCTTCGTAAAGGCCGTGTAAGTGTTGGTTATGATGATTATGAAGACATTTTTGGATCGGTATTGTCGGTGGGTGTGCCAGTTCGGGCGGGTGCTGAGTTGCCGAAAATGAGATGAGCCCTCCAGATTCTCTTTTTCCTCCGCACCTGCCCTCCTGTGTCTGCTTTGGCTCAAAATACACATGGGGCAAAGACTCAGCCTAGCAGCCCCTAGGGGACAGGGTTAGCACATGTCCACAGCCTCCCCCTCCATGCCAGGCTCTTTTCCCACAGGGGTGTGGCTTTCAGCCTCACAGGTTTTCAGAGGGCAAGGCATTGGTGGGGGCATTTGTGAGGTCAGGTACGGCCATCCCTGTCGAGTGCTCAGACAGGTCCTGGTCCTAGCGAGCACTATTGGTATTTGGCAATAAAGTTAAACCCTTCCCATCCTCACTAGAACACAAACTCCACCAGTCCACGGATTTATTTATTTATTTGTTTTTATTCACAAAGCATCCTGAGTTTCTAGAACAATGCAGGGCCCAAGGTAGAAGCACAATAAATATTTGCTATTTGAATGAAAAAAATTTGTCCCCACCCTAAAGGAGAGCAGAGTCTAAGGAAGGTGTCTGGAAAACAGTGGAAACCTGGAAGCTTGTAACAAATTCATCCTCTGCAACCAACCCCCCCCCCCCCCATCCCACACCCTCAGCAACAGTTCCCTGGGGCCAAAAGAGGGACTTCCTAAAAAATAAATCGGGTTAGATCACTGCCTTGCCTAAACAAATCCGAAATCTTCCCATTGCCTCCAGGCTAAAATCCAACTCTGATGGTCAGTGAGCACCAGCTCAACCTCGTTAGTCATCCCGGAAATGCAAATCAAAACCACAGTGGGATGCTACTTAACCCCCGTAGGATGGCTGTTATCAAAAAGACACAATAACCAGTGTTGCATTGAGAGATTGGAATCTTGACATGGCTGGTGGGAATGTAAAATGTTGCGGCTGATGTGGAAACAGTCAGGCAGTTAGTGTTACCATATGACCCAGCAATTCCACTCCTAGGTACATTACCCAAGATACACGCCCAATAAACTGTTGATCGGTTTTCTGGAGAATGCTGTTTACCCTGCCTCTTTCTCCCCCATTTCATTTTTATTTTTAATCATATTTGATTCTTCCCCATCTACATTTCTTTTTTTTTTTTTAACATTTATTTTTGAGAGACAGAAAGAGACAGCGCGTGAGCGGGGGAAGGGCAGAGAGAGAGAGGGAGACACAGAATCTGAAGCGGGCTCCAGGCTCTGAGCTGTTCAGCACAGAGCCCAGACGCTCAAACCCACGAGCCACGAGCCACGAGATCAGGACCTGAGCCGAAGTGGGACGTCAGAGGCTTAACCGACTGAGCCCCCGGGGCGCCCCTCCCACCTACATTTCATAACAAAGTTTCAACGTAGCCACCCTTCTGTCTATTAAACTCCATGTTCCTGGATGACAGTTTCCAGGTCCAGATTTTACCATGAAGACTTACCTCTTCCGCTCACGTTTAGGCAATCACACATTTTTACCTTGTGCAGTGTTTGCCCTCATTAGTTTTATTTTGTTATTTTGGCCTAGCAATAATATTCATTGTGGATTGAATAGAATACCAGTAGATTGCACTTGTTTCTCAGAAACATTGAATTAACTTTTAGAGAATCCTCGGACGTGGTAGGAAAGGGTGCAGAGGAGAGGCTGTGTGCTGCTTACTGCTCACCCCACTTTCCAGGCAGGGCTCCCCAGGAAGCAGGCTCCGAAATGGACAGGAGGTTTGTGGGGGCACCTCCTGGGGTCAGCTCGGTGGAAGGGAGGGGAGGGCAGTAGGAGCAGGCAGGAGAAGGGGGGCTGTGATGCAATGTCTGGGAAGCCTCAGTGGAGCCCACGGGAGCCCTGGAGCTGGGCTGGTCCTTGAGAGCATCCCAGGTAGGACGAGGGAGCCAAGTCTTTACGTTCTGGGCAGGCTGGCTGGCAGGTGGAGCCCTTCCTGGGGTATGACCTTGGTTCTTTTCAGCTGCTGGCAGTCCTGTCCCTCCCCTGGGCTGACAGCTGAGGCCCATCTGTTCTGCAGCCAGCACTCCCTGAAGCTGGGGGTGAAGTCACCCTGAAGGGGGAACCAGGTGGCCCGGCACAGGGACCACTGTCACCCACATCACCAAGTTACCTCCAGCTCTCCCTACCCTTTCTGGCCAAATACTTATTTTTTCTTTTCTTTTATTTTCTTATATGTCCGGAAGACCCTTCCAGCCCGGGTGGGGTGTCAGGAGCCTCTGTCTTCCATTGCCTGCACACCCTCCCTGCCCTGGGCGGGGAGCCCCCATGGTGGGTGCAACTGGGCCTCCCCTCAGGCAGCCTGGGGACGAGAGCCTTGAGAATGGAGCCTGTTTTTTCTTCCCACATTTTTTTTTCTTTTTGCTAAGGCAACTTTCTAGGGCTCTGCAGTTATAAAAAAAATCTCCCATGTGTCATTTTCTGGCAGCCGGACAGCTGCGGAGAGCCCCTCGGCAAGCACTCCTTTTCCACTCAGGGTTTAGCATTTGATTGATGAGTTGGGTTTGGGAAAAGCAGTTGAAGGTTATCACGAATCTGTTGTAAGGAAGTTTGTTACCTTATAATAAAAATACGGCACAGAATACTCTTTTCCGAAGACCTCGTCTCCCATGTCTCACGCATACACGGCTGCCAGGCCCTACGAGGGGCATGTGCACAGTTGGCAGAAAGGGTCTTGGGATGTCATAAAGGGGGATGAGCCCCCACTGGGAAGAAGGACAGGCCACCTCAACGTCGGGTGGCTTGCCCGCGGGGTGAGCAGCCCCTGCCTGGGAGGGTGGCCGTGGCCCCGTCTCAGGATGTGAATGCAAGAGACTCACCTGCCTGTCCTGTGCCCTCCCCCAAGCCCCATGGAGTCGTGCCCCATCCTGCAGAAGGAGAGAGTGTTCCAGTCAGGAGCCCATGCCTACAGGATCCCCGCTCTGCTGTATCTGCCTGAGCAGAAGACAGTGTTGGCCTTCGCGGAACAGCGGATAAGCAAGAAGGATGAGCACGCAGAGCTGATCGTCCTGCGCAGAGGAAGCTATGACGCATCCACCCATCAGGTCCAGGTAAGGCAGGGCGAGGCTACAAGTGCTGGGAATCCAGGGGCCATGACATGCTTAGATGGCCGGCGTCTGGGGAACAGAGGGATAAGACACGCTGAATCCCAAGAGGGGCCCAGAGACCCATCAGAGGTGGGGCAGAGAAGGTGTCCCCAGTGAGGGTGACCCACATGGGGTCACCGTGAGCAAGTTCAGCTGGCCTGGCTGCTTCCGCTTTCTTGCATAACAGGACAAGTTGGACAGGGAAACTGATGTTCGGACAGCTCCCCGCCTCCCTGAAAACCTGAGGGAGGGGTAGTTTAGTATCCCCACCCGGGGGGGGGGGGGGTGAGTGTATCCTTTTAGTAAAATTAACCTGGGGAGCAAGGTAAAGGTTGGAACTTGTGTCTTGAGATTGCAGCATGTAGACCAAGTATTTAATTTTGATGAAGACACCCAAGGCTGGCTTATCACATTTGAAGGGGTTAATATACTATTATCATTATTCCATGGTCTTTATGACACAGTACCCAGCCAGAGCATGGGGTCTGAAGCAGATGGACTTGGGTTCAAGTCCTGGTTCTACCACTGATCAGAGGCATGGGCTTGGGCAACTCATCCATGCTGTCTAAGCCTCTCATTCCCCAGACGGGAGACGGAGCTGGTGACACCTGTCCCCCAGGAGTCAGGGATTAGTGTTAGACGACATAACAGACATCGTGCTCTGGGCACGGTGTCTACCCCTCGAACCGTTCACTGGTGGAGGGCTATTAATGGACGGAGATAGAGGGCAGAGCTGCTGCATGTAGGCCACAGACTCAGGAACCGTGGAAACTCCTTGTGAGTCCTCGGTGTTGTGGTGCTATCCTTCCTAGGCTGCATTAATAGACTGTGATGTGTAGCAAATGGGAGGTGATTGTCACATTCTGCCCCGTCATGGTCAGACTACTGGCGTTACTCTAAGGCTTTATTTTTCAAGAATGGGAAACTGGACCGGGCTGGTGAGTGGAAGGGACCGGGATGAACCTGGGAACGGCTGTGCCCGAATCGTCTTCGCATGCTGCGGTCTGGCACTCTGCGGGTGCTCTGTAACGTATGTTGCTGGAAACGGCAGCGGTAGCCCCTCGAATGAAGAGTGTGCCGCCAGGGAGGGAGTACGGAGGGGCCGGGCTCCCAGCGCTCCGGGGAGACGTTGCGCGGGTAGATGCGTGCCGCGTGACCTTTGACGTTTCTCCCGTGGGATGCGCCACCTGCCCGTCTCCCCACACTGCAGTTCCTGCCACTCCCGCTGTCACCGGCCATTTCAAAGTCGTTCTTCTCCTCCTTCCTGTCTCCTCACATTCAGTGGCACGCGCAGGAGGTGGTGGCCCAGGCCCAGCTGGAGGGCCACCGGTCCATGAACCCAAGCCCCTTGTACGACGAGAAGACAGGAACCCTCTTCCTCTTCTTCATCGCCATCCCGGGGCAGGTGTCCGAGCACCACCAGCTCCACACCAGGGTCAACGTGACTCGGCTGTGCCAGGTCACCAGCCCCGACCACGGGAGGTCCTGGAGCCCCGCCCGAGACCTCACTGGCCCCGCCATCGGCACAGCCCACAAGGAGTGGGCCACTTTTGCGGTGGGTCCGGGGCACTGCCTGCAGCTGCGCAACAAGACGCGGAGTCTGGTGGTGCCCGCCTACGCTTACCGGAACCTTCACCCCCACCGGCGGCCTTCGCCGTTTGCCTTCTGCTTCGTCAGCCATGACCACGGGCACACGTGGCAGAGAGGGAACTTCGTGGCCCAGGACACCGTGGAGTGTCAGGTGGCCGAAGTCGGGGGTGCAGAGCAGAGGGTCGTGTATCTGAACGCGAGGAGCCCCCTCAGAGCCAGGGTCCAGGCCGAGAGCACCAACGAGGGCCTCGACTTCAAGGAGGCCCAGCTAGTGGAGGAGCTCGTGGAGCCTCCGCACGGCTGCCAAGGGAGCATCGTCAGCTTTCCCGGCCCCAGGGCGGAGACGGACGCCTCGGACAGATGGCTGCTCTACACTCACCCCACCGACCCACGGCAGAGAGCCCACCTGGGCGCGTACCTCAGCAAGCCGCGCCCGGGCCCCGCGGCCTGGTCGGAGCCCGCCCTGCTGGCCACGGGCAGCTGCGCCTACTCAGACCTCCAGAGCATGGGCACCGGCCCTGACGGGTCACCGCAGTTCGGGTGTCTGTACGAATCGGACGATTACGAGGCGGTCATCTTCGTCACGTTCACCCTGAAACAAGCCTTCCCAGCTGAGTTTTTGTCTTTGGGAGCCAGCTGTGTGCCATCCAGGAAGGACTCCCGCCGGCCTGGGGCCCCCCTTCCTCCTGAACACCCCGAGTGAGAGGCCCGTGGGTTTCCCTCTGGGCTCTGGGGGCCAGCTCTCGGCTCCCCTCACTGAAAGTGTGTGGAGACGTCTGCCACTTGGCTCTCTTCCTGCTTGGATGTTTCCGTCCTTCTGAGGGATTCGGTTTTCAATCAGAAGTTGAAGGAACCTGGCTTCCCACGGCCCCTCGACAGGGAAGATGGGGAGACGTCGCTCTGCATGGCTCAGCCTGCCTGTTGCCCCCCCAGCCCCCGCTTCTGTGCGGGTCCTGATAAATGGTCCAGTCCAGCCCATTTCTTCTTGGTAAACGCTCATCATGTTCCTGGGAGGAGACGGAGACAAAGATGCAAATTAGCAGAGGGGTGTGTGTGCATGTGAGTGTGCATGTGCGTGTGTGTGTGTGTGTGTGTGTGTGTTTGTGTGTCTGATGATGCTTTAGAGCAGACAGCATGGGAGACAGCTTTGCAGGGAGGTAAGGGGGGCTAGGAAAATTAAGGTAACTCCTCAAGTTGCCGTAGCAAATCAGTACAAACTTGGTGGCTTAAAACAACAGAAATTCATTCTCTGACCGTTCTGGAGGCCGAAGTCCAAAATCAAGGTGTCAGCAGGACCTGGGGAGAACCCTTCCTTGCCCCTTCCGGCATCTGGTGACCCCAGGCAGCCCTCGGCTTACGGCTACCTCCCTTTAATGCCTCTGTCTTTGAATGGCTTTCTCCCCTTCCCCTGTGTTTTTCTCTTCATACCTGGGTAACCCAGGATGATCCTTCACTCAATTATATTTGCCTAGACTCTTTTCCAAAGGATGCCACTTTCACCGGTTCTGAGGGTTAGGACGTGGATCTATCTTTTGGAGCCACCACTCAACCTGCTACAGTCATCCATCCTAAGTTATTTTTGTACAGGTGATGCGGCTAAAGGTAGGAATGAAATTCAGATGAATCAGATAATTCAGAAGAGGGAAGTGGGCAAGAGGGGCTGGGCTGTTGGATGTGCGTCTGTGGCACAAAGCTGCTCCGGGGCGTTCAGCCTTTGCCATGACAGGTATGCCACCATGTGGAAAGAGAGGGGGGCAGGGGTGTGCTTGTGTAGATCTTGCTGTGTGGAAAGAGCAGGGAGAAGGCCGCTTCTGGTTGTCATGAGGGTGATAACCTGAGAGGGGGCCCGACCCGGGTGGAGGGGGCTGATGCTTCTTGTCATATGTCCCAAGTCCATTCGCCCCCCCCTCCCCCATCAGAGCCCCTCCTACTGATTGGATCAGTCTAATAGTTTGATGGCAGGGATCGATGACAACAGTCATGGATTCTTGCAACGGAGCCGAGTCTCCATGTGGCCAGGCAGTGGTTAAATGGAATTTTCACAGGGTAGGGAGCTGGAGGTGTGGCTTTTGTTCTGGGTGTTTCCCGGCCCTGGCCTCCTATCTGGGTGCTACTTCTCTGTGTGGGGTTTTGTGAAATCCAGCTGGAAGGATAAGGAGTTAGGGCCTGCTCGTTGCTGGGGCGGAAAGTAGAGCTCCTCTGCGTTGGGGATGTCACCTGCTGTCTTCTAAACCCTGCAAAGTTAGCTATGCAGAGGCCAGAGGCCTGGTCAGGAGAACGAGGACAGGGCCACACAGGCCAGGAGCAGTGCACTAAGAGGTTAAGAGGTAGGGTGGTGCCACAGTGTGTTATTCAAATCAGGACACTTTTGAGAGTGAAAGGAGAATGTTATTAATAATTACACCAAGACAGTGGGCATCAGCCAGAACCGTCCCAGATAAACTGAGAGCTTTAAGAGAGAAAGACCCACCGAGGGTTGTATCGGGAGCTGGCCTCTGCTAACTCCTCTGGAAAAGTCAATCATCTGCTAAGGGTCTTGAGATGAGTCAGGAATACGATAAGACATCCGGACACTGCGAAGCTCAGAAAATTATTCCCTTAGACTCTCTCCGTTCACAAGTCAGTGGGTCTCCATTACAACTGCTTTTTAGAATTCCCTGGGGAGCTTGTAAACCGTGATGATGCCTGGGCTCCAGCCCTGACCAACTGATACAGAATCTCTGGTGGTGGCGTCCAGGGATGAGTGTTTTTTTCAAAAGCTCCTCAAGTTATTCTAGTGAACATAAGGATCAAGAACTGCTAGCACAGATGATCTCTAAAGTTCCTTCTACTTCTAAATGTATGCAAGTATCAAAGTCTTCTGATTTGAGTGAAAAAAAGCAATAGTTGATTTGGTTAAAGTCGGACTTATCCACTCATTGAAAAACACCACTAAGAGGGTGAAAAGAAAAGCCATAGATGGGGAGAAGATATTTATAACACACATGTCTGGCAAAGGACTTGTATCCAGAATCTATAAAGAGTCCCTACAAACCAATAAGAAAAAGACAATCCAACGAAAATGGGCAAAGGACTTGAACAGGCACTTCACAAAAGAGGATATCACAAAGGCTGCTAAACACGTTTGTCAGAGAAATGCAAATTAAAACTATGAGATACCCACCAGAATGACTACAGTGAGAAAGATTGACAACAGCAGGTATTGGCAAGGACGTGAAGCAACCGGAATTCTCATGCATTTCTGGAGGAAGCGTACCTGGTATGACCACTTTGGAAAGCTACTAAAACTGAACATGCAAATACTCTATGACCCAGCACTTCCTCTCTGCAGTACGTATCTAAAAGACATGAATGCATATAGCTGCCAAGGACACGTATTAAGAATGTTTCTGGGGGCGCCTGGGTGGCGCAGTCGGTTAAGCGTCCGACTTCAGCCAGGTCACGATCTCGCGGTCCGTGAGTTCGAGCCCCGCGTCAGGCTCTGGGCGGATGGCTCGGAGCCTGGAGCCTGTTTCCGATTCTGTGTCTCCCTCTCTCTCTGCCCCTCCCCCGTTCGTGCTCTGTCTCTCTCTGTCCCAAAAATAAATAAACGTTGAAAAAAAAAAATTAAAAAAAAAAAAAAAAAGAATGTTTCTGGCAGCTTTGTTTGTAAGAGTCCCAAAGGGGAAACAATCCAAATGTCAGTCGATATCAGAATGGATAACCGAATTGGGCAATATTTGCGCAAAGGAATATTTCATGATAATAGAAGAATGAAGTACTGCTACACACGAGAGCGTAGGTGGTTTTCCAGACATTATATATTTGCGCAAATGAAGCCAGATTCAAAAGACTACATACTTGATGACTCTATTTATATGAAGTTCAGGAACACGCAAAACAAATCCGTGGTGTATAAATCAGGAAGGTAGCTATTTCTGGAGGAGGATAGCTGTTCATGGGGAGCTAGGAGGAGTCTTCTGGGTGCTGGAAACATTCTACTATTTGATCTGGTGCAGCTTAGGAGGGCTAATTCTCATGTGACAATTCGATGAGCTGTACACACAAGATTTGTGTACCTTAAAAGTTCAACTGAATAGTGGATTTGCTAGTTAAACCTCCAAATCAGTATATTCTATTGGGTTGTAATAAAACTTTGGAAATGAATTTTTTTAATTAAAAAAAATTTTTTTAATGTCTATTTTTTAGAGAGAGAGAGAGAGCATGAGTGCCAGAGGGACAGAGAGAGAGGGAGACACAGAATCTGAAGAAGGCTCCAGGCTCTGAGTTGTCAGCACAGAGCCCAATGCGGGGCTCGGACTCACGAGCCATGAGATCGTGACCTGAGCCGAAGTCGGACACCCAACTGGCTGAGCCACCCAGGCGCCCCAGAAATGAATTTTTGTGATAAACTTTTTTAGGGGGAACCATTTTAGATTTATGGAAAATTTGCAAAGGTAGTATGGAGTGTTCCCATATATCCCACACTCAGTTTCCCCTAGTGTTAACATCTTATGTAACTGTGGTACATGTATCAAAACTAAGAGATTAACGTTGATGCACTATTACTAAACTCTAGACTTCATTCGGGTTTCACCAGTGTTTCTACTAATGTCCTTTTTCTGTTCTTGGATCCAATCCAGGATACATTTAGTACATTTAGTGAAACTGAATTTTTACTATAATTTGTGTCCATGGAGACATACACGTATCCACAGACCGATACACGGCCCCTCCCCTGCCGTGTGAGGCCGAGGAGACGAGAGGGCTTGGGGCACGTCCAGGGCGGTCGCCTCAGAAGGCCCAGAGCCTGGCCCCGCAGAGAGGGCAGGCAGGGTGGTCTGCTCAACCCAGTGGTGCCGGTAGAGAAGATCTGCCCCTCTCAGGAGAGACTCTGTCTCTGCACAGCGCGATGAGCTGAGGGCAACACGGTAGCCACAGAGAATTACTGGAACTTGTCCATTCTTAGAGGTAAGGCCACATGTGGTGAGGCACAGCATGTTAGCCTGTAGAGACGGAAGTGAACTTGAAGTCTTTTAAGTCCAGCCTCCTCACTGAGGGACGGGAGGAGGTGACAGCAGGTTCTGTGAGGTCCAATGACTTCCTCAAGACCACACAGCCCGTGGCAGGGCCGGGAAAGCAAGTGGGTTTCTGACCCTTGACCAGCGTCCCCACCTCTGTTCTGAGTTGTCTCCATTGTCCCTGTCTGACCATGCAAGGAGTACAAAGGGGTCTGTGTGTCCAGATTCTGGGACGTGGAGCTCTGCTCAGCCTGTCTCTGGAGCCTGTGCCCTTGGTTAGCCCCGGGCGCAACGCCTCCCTCGCTGGCATTCCCTCGTGGCCTCACCAGAGAGGGCAGAGAGATGCCAGCCCGGGCGTCTGGGAAGGCAGCACCTCCTGCAGAGCCGAGAGGCGTCGGAGAGCTTGGTGCTCCAAGTCCCTGCTCTGCGCTGTGAGATTTTAGAGCCAGCACCCCACCACCACCCACACAAATCCCCATCCCGTGAAGAAGAAAGGAAGAAATCCAGTATTTAAATGTGATACTTTAATCACACTGCTCACAAGGTGAGAAAGCTGACTGTACTTTTGGCAAGGTGTTTCTTTTTCAAATTCCATTTTTGTACTGTTTTTAGGGGAGGATTTCAAGGGAATAGATGCCAACCATTTGGAAGTACAAAAAGGCAGGATAAAACCACCCGTTATCCCACTAGGCAGAGGCACATTTTCTTCTGGTCTTCTATCTGTGAGATTTGCTGAGATCATGCTGCAGAATCAACGTGGGATGGTGCCTTTCCTCCCCACTTGACATTATACCCGAAGCATTTCCCCCATGTTATATTCTTGCAAAAGATAATATGTCGAAGAAACATACTGTGAATTATGCAATCATTCTTGGGTATTAGAAATTGAAGGTACTTTGACTTCTGTTATAAAAACACTGAGATGAACATCTTTGTGAGTAAACCTCTGTCTTTATCTGTGATCATTCTGTAAACTGA